CTGGTGTCTGTGGAAGCCATTTGAGAACAGTGAGCTCACTGTCATGTTCAAGAAACCAGTTTCAGATATTGTGAGCTTTGTGCTTTATCTTGCTGGAAAACCGACATCAGATAATGGATACAATGTGGTCATGAAGGGAAGGACATGGTCAGCAACAATAATGAGGCAGACTGTGGTATTTTAAAGATGCTCATTTGGCTCTAAAGGGTCCAAAGGGTACCAAGAAAATATTCGTCACACCATTACATCACCGTCACAAGCCTGAAGTGTTGAGACAAAGCAGAATGTATCCATACTTTCATGCTTGAAAGCTGTTTCTACCAAATTCTGACCCGGCCGTTTGAATGTGACAGGAGAAAATCAAGACACTAGATCAGGCAAATTCTTTTTCCATTCTTCTGTTTTCCAGTTTTGGCGAGTCCGTGTGAATTGTAGTCACAGTTTCCTGTTCTTAACTGACAGGAGTGGCACCTGTTGACGTGTTGTGCGTTGGTTGTATAAAGCGGTTGTTTGACTTAGTTTCCTATCAGCTCAAAGCAAACTGGCCACTCTGCTCTAACCTCTTGAGATCACAAGGCGTTTTCACACAGAGAAATATTGTTTCTGAGTCAAGAACACCTCTTCCTTTTAATTTGCAAGCTTAGGTCAACCTTTTGACACCAGACTCCACAGCTTACTTGCTATGTAATAAGCCTGCAGTCAGTCAGTGAATGACCTAATCAAACTTGGCATGCTTTAATCTATCCTTGCTAATTAAGGGTTTCATGTTTTAATCTCTCACAGCGATCTTTTTCTTCTAATATATTGACACTCCCCCATCTTTGTTATTTTAATTGTGGCCTTTGCCTTCAGAAATACCTTAATTTTTCATTCCCCATGGCGCTGAGGGTGCTGTAAAATGGTTTCAAATCAGTAGATGTAGATGCACATGCACAATACCTATACATACCTACCTAAAAGTAGATGCACATGCTGATGAATGACCTCTTTTTAGTTTCAAAGAGAAATAAGGGGTACCTGCATAGGCCCATCCTCCTCCTCAGTCATGCTGGATTTCCACAATTTCTGCAGAAGCACAAAACTCTGACCTAAATTACATGTATACTGATTTATCATGCAATGTGAATAGAACTAGTAGAGAATTACATCCTACATTTGAAGAAAGATGATTGAAAGATATACCATAAAGGCAAAATTCTGGACAAACACTCTTGCCTTTGGAACTGGTGGATTAAAAAACCCCTGGAGCAAAAGGGCAGTTAATAATATCTCTATTTAATGAAATTACTATTAAAATAAGCACAATTTTTTTTGATACTCTGACAGAATTAAATCGTTTAATATAGTGACCTGCCTTGGAAAGTATGCCAGGTTAGATTATCTGTAAATTAATGTGCTACTCTGACGACAACAACAACAACAACAACAACAATAGTAATAATGATTATTATTATTATAACAGTTCCGTTTTATGCAGCCACATAGCTAATCAGTTTGCTTAAAGCAACAAAGGAAGCGCCGCTGCTGTCTTCTTGCTCGCGCACGCACCGCTGGCTACAATGGTAAAAGTGCGTGCTCGCTCCCGCTGTGTAGCGACAAGATGGCGGTCGCCGCCGGATCAGGTAAAACGGTTGAGACGTATTAATCACTGCGAAAAGCTATTTTTGAACAGTGTTATCAATGAATTTTTACCGCGTACCTGTTAGGTTTTATGATTAGATGGATTCTGCATTGAGGCGCTGTGCTATGTTGTGTTATTACATAGAAGCTAAAACAAAGCTGAGGAGAATGAATAGGAAGCGATGCTAGCAGCTAAGCTATCTTAAGTTAGATAAAAGGACAGCAGGTCTCACTTCAGTGCTGTTTTATGGGCGTGGAGCCGTTACTCGCCAGCCATCAGCAAATATGAGGCATTGCAACTTGCTTATGCATTTGTGTATTCATTTATACATTTTAATTTAATAGTTTGATTTAGGATGCTGCTTAAATTACAGCATCCTGTTGTCAAACCACAGCACCGCCACCCCACCGGAAAATGACAGCCTGTTTGCGACATCAGATTATTTACAGGCGCGATGTGTTGCAAACCGGGTGTGTAGCGTTACTTAAATGTCATCAAGAAATGCGGGTGAATCCCGCAGTAAGACGGTCTTCCTGCCCGGCTGTTAAACGTAAACAGTGACTGTACGTTTTCCGAGAGCTCATGAGGGAAACATGACCTGCGCTGAGCTTCACTGAGCTTCTCTGGAGACGCCGGTGAGCTGAGCTGAAATGCTGCAGCAGCTGGCAGTGTGACTGGGTTTGTTTGGATGGCTCTGTTAAGGGTGCAGCCTCGTCGTATCTCACTGCGGAGGCCAAGTGATGCGGCACCGCCGGAGCCAGATGCTCAAGTCTCACAGGACGTGAAAATAACACCTGCTGTTATCAAAAGGCTCACGTAGGCTGCGCAGCTGAGGCGTCCCTTATTTTTTCTGTCTTATTGAGTCATAACTTCATAACTGCAAGTCATTTTGTCTGGCACACTGCTGGCAGTTTTATTTAGCTTCGTAAATCTACCTGTGGCTCTGGAAGTTTGCATGACTGAATGGCTGTGTGTTTGCCCACAAACAGGCGTTAAAGTTCCTCGCAATTTCCGGCTCCTGGAAGAGCTGGAGGAAGGTCAGAAAGGTGTGGGAGATGGAACGGTGAGCTGGGGCTTGGAGGATGATGAGGACATGACCTTAACACGATGGAGAGGGGTGATCCTTGGCCCCCCAAGGGTTAGTGGTGCCATTTTTAACACCTGGATGAGGACTTTGCAGGGGCAGGGGAGTGTTGACCAAGCCAAAAGATTAACAGTTACTTAAACCAAAGGTGTCAGGTTTGATTTGTGCATGGCATGATGTTGGGGAGCAAATCAGGTCGTCCATGTGAAGAAGAGGAAAACATCGAGGCACTAACACTACTTTGCAGTGCTTTGAATGAATGTTTTTGAATTAAAACAGAATAAATGTGAAGCAGAAGCACAATTAAACTCCTGACTAAAGACCAAATATCGCATAAGTTTGCAGCATAATGTTGTTTTTGACTGCTGACAGATGTCCCAG